CATCAAATTTGGCCCAGAAACAGCCGAGAACGTGATTTCGAGGTGACAACAGGCCATTTCAAATTTGCGAGCTTCCCGCGCCCCCGGGTGTACAGAGGCAGGCCCGTAGCAGGGGGGACTGGGCAAGCCCCCCAAATCGGCCGAAGGCCGAAAAATTCATAAGGGGGACCCTTATGATTTTTTTTCGTGAAAATTTTTTTGCCTGCGGCGCTTTTTATAGTTGGTTTTAAGACTGTGTTTACTGTCATAGCCCTAAGTTTTTCAAAATTTTCGCCTGCGGCGCTGTTTTTGATAGTTTTGATACGTTGCCAAAATTTTTTTTTGGAGTTGCCCCCTCCAAAAATTGGGGATCGCTACGGCCCTGTACAGAGGCCTTCCAAGTACAGGGCTCCCATTTTCGGGCCGTCACTCAATTTTTGGCACTTCGTAGCCCCTTTAACGCACAATTTAGCAAGTGAAGGTTGGGCGCATTTTGGCCAATTTTTCGATCTGCTAAAAATTACTGAAAGACTATTTAGAAAATAAACTAATTACATGAAAAAGTAGAGGGATAAAAATTCTTTCGAAAACCAAAAAGTCAACTGTAAAAATAATTAGCGATCGTGCTCAAAATCGAGCTCAAAGGAAAGCGGCGATTTTCATTCTAACCCATTAATTTCGAGCAATGTAAACGTAGAAAAAAAAACTAATACCAGTTTCTGATAGAGAAAAGAAAGCTCTTTCGAATGATATATAACATTTGGTCCAAAATCCACGATTAAGACAAGCAGCGAGCTTTGAAAAAAGCGCAGAGACTTACGTTCCAACCCAATAGACGCAGTTGCACCGCGCGCAGAATTGATTTATGTGTAGATTCTTCCGCAGCCGGGAAGCACAAAGCAATTTTATATCAAAATGTTTATTTTTCGCGCTCTATCGGGCCTTATATCGATATCCAGACAAAAACTAAGATTTCGAAAGTTAGAAGTCAAAATGCCGAATTCCCATATTAAAATCGATGTTTCTAAAAAATTCCCGAGAGCTGTAGGAATTAATCTGCAACCATGAATGCTTGAAAAAATTATCTTAAACGATTTGGCACCAATATTACCACTCTAGAGGACGCCATTCATTTCCCCGGAGCTTTTAAAGAAAAATGTTGGAAATTTTTGTCATCGACTGTTTTGAGAATTCTATGAAACTTTTTTATTTTGCGGATGGGTGGTCTTAAGCGTGTTGCAGGTAAAAAAGCACGCCGAATTCTGCTATGAATGCGATCTAGGGAACATTTACACACTAAATCGGCAAAATAGAGCCAAAAACTAAATGTTGGAAACTTTTGTCCGCCACTGTATCTGCAGTGTGACAAAGAGACGGAGCGAGAGAGAGAGAGAGAGAGAGAGAGAGAGAGAGAGAGAGAGAGATAAAGGGTGTAAGAGAGAAGTAGACCGATTGAGATAAACTTTTATCGAGTATCATAAAGAAACTAAACATTTATTTTCAGGTTAGGCCTTAATCTATTTATTACGTTATCGAATCTATTTATCGTTTTAAAAACGGGACTGCTTGAAGAAACCCTCTTTTTGCAAACCAAAACCAACGTAATGACAATACAGTAAACATTCTGTTTATTTTTGGCTCAGATTTAATCCAAAAAAAATAAAAAGGATTATTACTAATAAAACATGCTACCATTGAATGCGTATGAAATAAGGAAGTACAACTTCAAACCAGGTGTTCCAGATGGCACAGGAAGTACAGCCGGGGGCCAGTTATGCCCCGGCCGGCAAATCATAGAAATGCCGGGATGGGGGGCATTGAGTTAGGGATACCAGTAAGAAGAGAGAGAGAGAGAGAGAGAGAGAGAGAGAGAGAGAGAAGAGAGAAAGAGAGAGAGAGAGAGAGAGAGAGAGAGAGAGAGAGAGAGAGAGAGAGAAAGAAAGAGAGACGCGACAGATAAGGGCGGCCGTTCGGCTTCAGCTTTTGGCACCCCCAGCCGCCCGGGGCACCAACCGGAGGAAATTGGGCCAATGACCGGGGGGTACAGCATTTAGGAGGGAACCTCCCTCCACCCTCTACCCAGAAGACACCAATTTACGCGTGTCGGGGGAGGGTGGTACACTTAGTTAACGGTGCTGAAGCGTCTTAAGCATAGGATTAGGCTTAGCTTAGGAGTGGCATCGACTTATCTTAGGCGTATGGTAGGCTGAGCTTCGACTCGGACCTAGGTTTGCTTTACAATAATCCAAGGCTTAAAGGGATGTCGACGGCATAGTGAATCGGTTACGCGCGGAAAATAAAATGTGTCTGCGCCTCTCCCCTGGGCGCGCTCTCTGCCCTGTTGGCTACTTGCCAATTTGTTGATGAAGGGGGATCGACACATGCCGTCGGCAGCCCTTTAAGATTAGCCTAGATGAAGCTTCGGCTCAGCTTAGGCGCAGCTTAGGCTTAGCTCCGGCCGAACCTAAGCTGCGCTCAGGCCTAGCTAATGCTTAGCCTAGCTTAGCTTAGGTTTCACTTCATTTTTGACCCCAATCGGGATCTGTTCTTTTTAAGGATTATGTTCAATTTTTAAGGAAGCTCCCGCAAAGAGGAGTCAAAAATTAAGTTGAATTTGGAAGGGAACTGCCGCAAAGAGGAGTCAGAAATCCTACTATCTATAAAAAAATAGCGTTTGTGTTTGTGTGTGGACACTTTGCATAAATGGATCAAAAAAACCGGGGGACCAAGATATCGGGAAGGGGGAAGGATTTTAATGCCCAATCGAAAGGTATTAAAGGGTAATCGAGGGCGTAGACTACCGCAAGCTTATCAGAATTTTAATAAAATGGTGACTTATACCTTATTTTCACGTTTTAAAAACATATGGAAATACCCTTATTTGCATACGAGGCGCTAGGAGGCTCATTTTAGATTTCAACCCGGTCGCGATCAGCTGCTCTTCCTATTTTTTGGAGCGGCTAAAATAGGGTCTGAAATCCGGCAGGAATCGAACTCGGGTCGTGTGCCTGGGAGCCCTGGCGCAGTGAGTAGAGCGTCGGCGTACCAATCCATTGCTGCCGCCAGTTCAATCCCACAGCCCCCTCCAAAAAGCTGAACTTCTCTTTGCCTTTTTTGCAATCGCTTCAACTCGTCAGCTAGATGTGTTCTGATGCTTCAAAATCCAAAAAATTTTTGTGATGCATTTTTCGGGTACAGTCTTGGTGCGTTTTCAGCGCACTAAATGGAATATTCCAGCAAATGGGTGTCTGTCCGACCGATAAAAGATACAGCAATCGATGCAGAAAAGAATCACGCATCTTTCTAAGCTAGTCTTATGATGCGGCCGAACACCCATCAAGACGAAAACTGCAAAAAGGTACGCAATATACAGTGCTCCACATAAAATGTCCATCCCCCAAAATTGGGAAACTAAAATTTTTAGGTGCTTTTATAAAAAGGCAACAATATCAGCGTAAGGTCAAAGGTATTGCAAAATATACTACAAGAGCCAATGCTGATAAATATTTAGATAAAATGGTGGCCGATCATCTGTTCAAAAATCACCTATTCGAAAATCATCTGTTCGAAAATCATGTGTTCGAAAATCACCTGTTCGAAAATCACCGGTTCGAAAAGACACCTGTTCGAAAAATCATCTGTTCGAAAAATTTGCATGTGGAATTGCCTAGAAATGGTACCAAAAATGACCATTTTCGAACACATGTTTTTCGAACAGGCGACTTTTCGAACAGGTGTCTTTTCGAACAGATGACTTTTCGAACAGACGTTTTTCGAATAGATGTTTTTTCGAACAGAAGATTTTCGAATAGGTGATTTTCGAACAGATGATTTTCGAACAGGTGTAGGGAATCGATAAAATCATTAGCCAGAAAACATGAAAAACCCATCTTTGCCACTCCACATAATCTTAGGTCCACCCAGCTTTACGAAAAAACGCGTGAGTCTAGAGTGCTTAATCGAAGATCTTTTGCATCAGACCCTCAGCTACTCATTGAAACGAAAAAACTTGCCTTCAAAACTCAACTTAATTTTTGACCCCAGTAGGAGGTGCTCCTTTCCAAATTCAACTTAATTTTAGAACCCAGTAGGGAGCAGCTACCTTCAAAATTCAACCTAATTTTTGACTCCGCTTGGCTGCTGCTTCCTTCAAAATTCAACTTAATTTTTGACTCCGCTTGGCTGCTACTCCCTTCAAAATTCAACTTAATTTTTGAATCCGCTTGGCGGCTGCTCCCTTCAAAATTCAACTTAATTTTTGACTCCGCTTGCCTGCTGTCGAAAGTATCTTGCCAAAGGCAAGACTTTCGAAGGGTATAACCCTTCGGGGAATTATCCTGGGGGCGTGACCTTTATCCTGTGGGCCCGTGACCGTACCCCCCTGGGCGGTCCGGCGCGCCCATCCCTTTCCCCGGGGATTTCCCGGGCCTACGGCCTCTCCGATTTTATCGGAGTTTTTGGGGAAATTGCAATGAGGACTTAATGTCCCGTTGCCACAGTCCTTTATGGATTGTGCCCTCGAGAAGGGAAGCGGCCCTTACGAATACCCAAAACCTGCCCGCTATGGGCTTAAACCAGAACCTGTTTCCTTTAGGCCGAAGGCCTATCTTTCTCTAACTCTCACCGTTCCCCTTTTATCTCTTTCGTTGATTCTCACTGATAAATACTTGTGACCAAAACTGTCTTCCGTATAATCACATGGCAGGATACAAATTCACTACTATAAGGGACGGTTTGCGCCATTTTTCTGCAAGTGTTGTATTTTCGCGCCACCCGCCGAGTATACCCGTACAATGTTTTTTACACCAAAATATTCAATGCACAGAGTATATTAAAATGTGTGTAGGATGGATATTTCATTTCTTTGAAATGTTTACCTTCAAGTTACCCATGTCTCTTTATTGTGTTGGCCCTTCGAACTCGGGCAAAACACACTGGGTCAAAGAATTTATTGAAAATGTAGATTCGTTAGTAGAAGGAGCACCGTTGAAGCGAATAGTTTATTATTATGGGATTCATCAACCCGTATTTGAAGAGATGGCTCGTAAAGAGCCTCGACTAGAGTTCATTGAAGGGCCTCCGACAGAAGATGATCTGAAAAAGTTGGATAATTCGTTAGTTATAATCGACGATCTATTCCACGAGATGAAGGATAGTAAATTGCTATTGGCTCTATTCACTAAATTGACCCATCACTCCAATTGTGCTACCATTTTTATAACACAGAATGCTTTCCTCGGAAATCGCAGTGCACGAACGAATGCCACGTATCTAGTTCTAACCAAGAATAACTGTGACAAACTACAAATTTTAAACTTGGCGAATCAAATGTTCCCTAGAAAACAACGCGATTTGATCGATAGCTATGAGGATGCCGTTTCAAAACCATACGGATATTTGGTTGTGGATAACCATGTCACTGCAGACCCAAAGCGTAGGCTATTTTCCAACATATTCCCAAATAAAAGCCTTGAAGTATACGAAATGGTTTAGTTGACATGACTTTTAAAAAGTTAGAAGACCTCTATACAGGACTTGATTCGGCAATTTCGTTTTCTTCAGCTAGTAACTTGAAAAACCATGCTAAAGGCGTTTCCAAAGAAACTATTGACGCATATGTTCAAACGAAGCCCTCGTTCTACCTACACAAACCGGCCACACACAATTTTAAGCGACGTAAAACTACAGGCACTAGCCTGCATAGCCATCACCAAGCTGATTTGGCCGTAATGTCTAATATTAAAAACTACAACCATAACTACAAATATATCCTGTTGATAGTGGATTGTTTTTCTCGACAAATCTTTACTAGACCGCTCAAAACAAAATCCACCCACGAAGTTGCCCAAGCGTTCGAAGATGTTTACAACGGTTTTGCACCGTATTATTTGATCACCGACAAGGGCTTGGAATTTACGGGCTCACCAATGAAGAAACTATGCCAAAAATTGGAAATCACTCAATGCTTTCCGAATTCTACGGTTAAAGCAGCAATGGCTGAAAGATATATTAAAACCCTAAAATATAGACTTTATAGATATTTTACCGAAAAGAACACCTACAAATTGTATGATGTACTTCAAAAGTTTACAGAAAATATTAACAACACTCCCAATTCTGCGATCGGAATGAAACCAAACGATGTTACGTTCTCGACGAAATTCACGAAAGAAAAGGATATCCCGGGGACAGGTCATCGATCCATCCGAGAAGGAGATTCGGTTGTCTTATCCAAGGGAAGGGCCGTTTTCAAAAAAGGTTACACTGGGCATTGGAATACCGAATTTTTTAAAGTGTCCAGAGTCTTTCCTACAAAACCAGTAACTTTTGAGTTAACTGACTTGAACGACGAAATAATTGACAAGCGTTTCTACAGCGAAGAAATTCAAAAAGTTACCCCACCAAACGTCCACGTTATCGAAAAGATAATTAGATGTCGCAATTCAGAAAACGGTAAAGAATGTTTAGTTAGGTACAAGGGTCATGGACCTTTATTTAACCGATGGATTCCAGAAGACCAACTTGTCAAAGTTCAAGCTGAAATAGATAAATAGGCTCAAACTCATCTAATCGACATTTGTTATGACAGGACTTAATCGATTGTCGAAAAATATTTCATTTCTCAAGGATATTTCTGAAACTGACTTGCTATTTGAAAGATTGAAGAACGCTACAAATTTGGAAATTATTATTTTGATTGAATTGTTTCATAACCTACGAAAGGGCCTTGTCCCTCTCTACAAATACGAAGCAAACAATTTGAGGCCATATTTTCAGATAATTGAAAACTTGGGCAGTATTCGTAATTATACTGAAGCGCGTAAAAAGCTGCTTGAAAACATTGAATTGGTAAGGCTTGTGACGACACCTGCCTTGGCTCTGGCTAAAAATGTCTAGTGAAAAGAGATCTTATCGAAAGCTCGTTTTCGTGTCGCCGAATGTGGTTCAGAAAGGAGATGGCTATGAGCATACACCCAGAGAGCAAATTCTCGAGCAGGCGAAACAAACCGAAGGTGGCATGCAGAAAATTTTAGCAAGCAACCTCTCGGACGACCTCAAAATGAAACTATACGGTCAATTTCTTAATGTTCTCACAGGCCTAGCGGGTGAGATCAAGACAGTTGACAGAGGGCCCAGATTGATTCCACCCGTGAGCATGGAAGAAAGAAGTCAGCCCACAATTATCCGGACCAAGAAGGTTCGAAAACCGCGTGTAAAGGCTACAACTGGAAAAACAACAAAAGAAAATGGTGCCCCTAAACCGCAGGTAGCTGTTGAACAAGAAAAACCCACCAGTCATAGAGTTTTTGATCTATTACTCAAAAGCGTCAAAACGGATGAGAAAGATCGTATCCTAGGTGAACATGGACTGCCAATCTCAGCGAGCAATATTTATGAAATTGCTAGGGCTGCTACCACAGGCTATAGGCATTATGTGCCGGAAGGCTACGAAGAAGCCTATAAACAAGTGAAAGAAAAATACCCAGACATGATTGGGCACCTGAAAAAACCAGTTACTGCTGCAGAAGGCTTGAAACGCCTAGACCATGTTATCGGCAATGGCTTCAAAGATAAATTTAGGGTATTTAAATATAGATAAATAGCTTAGATATTTATTGTCATGACATCATTACCCCTGATGGATGAAGGACTATTGCATCAAGCAATTTCCACCCCACATAGCTCTAGTCAAAGAGATTTATCGAAAAGAGGTTACGCATTGGCTAGGGCTAGAATACTGATAATATTTTCAATTGTCCTGACTTGTTTAGTTAATACCAGGGTTGAAAACTCCACTTTTCAACCCTGCCTCCGGTCTTTTAAAGTTGGGCTTTGAATATTCGGGTCAGGCTAGAGCGAACCTAAAAATAGAAAAAGCAACCGGCCGCGAGCGCGACAAAAGCAAAAATGAGGGTCCTAGCGCCTCGCATGCAAATTCGTCTATTTCCATATGTTTTTAAACGTTAAAATAAGGTATAAACGAAATTTTAGTAAAATCTGATAAGCGTACAGTATCTACGCCCTCGACTACCCCGACTCCTTATTTCTGGCCAAAAATTCTTTCCTCTTCGAGTTATGGCTGGAACCCGGGTTTTTATGCAAAGTGTCTACACACTTTTTTTTGTGGTGACCATAGCGCATATAAAAGGGTCTGATTTATCGGTTTGGCTTAGTGCTATTTTATCAATAGCTTGTCTTTTGGTGCCTTCCCCGTTAAAAAATAAACTTAAGCATAATGAGTGATGATTTTTACATAACTGTTGTTGGCCCTACGAAGCAACGTGGCGGCGTTTTCACAAACCATTTGTCTAAAGAGGTTAAACTTTTTGAACCCAATGGAAGACAGGGACAATGGTCGTGTGCCCTAATTGACTTGGTAACTTCTGGTGTACCCGACCAGATTCCCCTGAATCAAACTGTAAAGTATCTCGAAAAGAATGGAAAAGAAAAGCATTTTACATTGCCCAGGGGAAACTATCACAAACCAGCCCGCTTAGCTAATGCACTAAATTGCATGTTTCAAAAGCTAGGGCGAAAACGCAGACAAGTCGAAACTAGTGAACAGGCTTTACCCTCAAATATAGAACAAGTCGGAGATCATATCGAAAAAGCTTTGCCCTCAAATAATCCCCAAGTTCAATCAGGCCAGTCGGGTGCATTCAATGGGGTTGGGAGTCAAGATCAGCTACCGCCAAACACACAAGCGACGGTTGCCGAACCGGTTGCTTTGGAAACCCAAAGTTACCAAATATCAGAACAGGCTGATTTAGACGTTAAAAAACTACCAGAAGAAACTGAAGCTGCAGGTGATGCAAAACATTTCACAGTTGCAAGTGGAAAGATCGAAGCCGTCGGCAGCGAGCCTGTCACAGCTAAGGAACTGAGCCCTGAGCCCTCTAAACAAGAAACAAACGATAACGCCCAGACCATTGTTTCAAATGAAACATTGGAAACAGCTAAGGACGAAAAAACAGATGAGAGCAGCGCTCAGCTTCCATCAAACATTCCTACAAAGGATGCCCAAGCAGTGGTTACAGCCGTTCCAGAGGGTCAGGGAGAGAATGTGTCTCAAACGCAACTAACACCTCAGGAAGAAGCGCCCCTTGCACAGGATACCCAGGAAGCAGAAACTGGAGGAGATCTACCTAGCAATATCTCAACAAATACGGACGCCAAGTCATCAAGTCAAGGTGACTCGCCAATTTCGGAAAATACAGGAGAGGTACATGAGAAAAACGAGGCACTTGAACTACCGACCAAGGAGGGGGCAGCAGGGCAGCTCCCAACTAACATGCCGGAATTGGAAACTGACCCTAGTGATGCTTCGTCGCAGAAATCGGAAACTGAAAATACACATGCCTCTGAGGAAGACCGTTTGGAAGACATCGACTTGGACGAACAGGAAGATGCAGATGCAGACTTAAAGGCAAAGTCGACAGAACTTGAGGTAGAACAAGTTTTGGACAATGTACAGGATGAGTATTCAAAAACTCTACAGAGTAATACTGATTTTGAGACTGTCAATTCACAATTTTCGCCAATGACTGCACGATCACCCGCAGAGCTGGATGTCGACACATTTGCTGAAAGCTTTCTGGAACCGATAATTGAGGCGGAGGTCGTCCCGGTCAACATGGTGCAAAATTTCACAGATAGTTTTTCGTTCGATTTGAAAAATAAGGCATTGGAAAACTATGGCATATGCTTCGATTACGACGAAAGCCAGAAACGGTTCAGCTTTGAATTAGACCACCGAAGAGTTGAGAAGCTTGAATTGTCCGATACACTCTGGCAATTGACCGGCTTTGAAAATAAAGAACTCGTAACCTCAGGCTATGCCACATATCTGCCTGATTTGAAGGCTGGTTGTCGAAGTCTAAGGGTTCATTGTGACCTAATAGAACCCCACCTAGTTGGAGGGCAATACCAACAATTACTTCGTACAGTACCAAATGACGTAGAACCAGGAGAACTGTTCGCAAAAAGTTTTAACCCTCCCGTCTACCATGCGGTAAAACAAGGGTACTTTAATGCGTTCAAGTTGCAAATTACTGATGAAGATGACCAAGAAGTTCCGTTAATTAGCAACAAATCGGTCGCCCTGCTACACTTTAAAAGGGTTTACTAAGCTCGTATCCTCAGTTCTAAAAAATGTTTGATAATGGTTATTCTCTCTTTGACCCTATGGGGGTGCATTGGGCATTTGGTCAAGGTGTTAAGGTGGTTAGGCCAAAATTTCAAAAGGGAAATGGTAGGCAAGTTCCGTTTCGTGATAATAAATTCCTGTTACCGACGAAAAAAGCTATCGACCTGCCAAACAAAGTTGTAAAACCTGTGCAAAAGACGAAAAAATCGACGAAAAAGGTTCCCGTGTTGCTACCGCCCCTCAGTCCATTTCCAAAAACTAGAAAAGGAACCCAGAAACGCCGGCATGTCATTTTGACCTCAGTGCCACCATTGAAGTAATGCCTTCGATTAAAGCGTTTGAGTCCGACCCTGAGTTGGCATTTTCGAGTGAACTTTCTTTGTTTGAACCTATTCAACATGTTGTAGGGGTGCAATCTATGCGTTTTCGCAGCATTGCCCCAGAAAATAGTAGCTTAAACCAAACAGGTCCGTATACCTTTCGCATTATGAAAGAGCCATATTTTATTTCTTTTGCTCGTTCCTATCTAACAATGACACTACGGCTTGTCAATGAGAAGGGAGAAGGGTATAAACATTCCAAAATTACAAAAGACGGTGATGTTTCAAAAATTGAATTTTTGGATCGCTGCGCCCCCATCCAATACGCGGCGCGAGCTTTTTGGAAACAAATTACCCTAAATATTGGTGGGACCCAAGTTGAAAATACGGGTGACCTTTACCCTTACCGAGCTTTTCTAAATGCCGAATTTATGACGGATAAAAATGTGAAGCAATACAATCATGGACATGCTCAACTCTATGATGCCAACGAATCGGGTACCGAGCTTGCTACTAATGACGGTTTTGAGAATCTAAGTGTCCTATTCAAGGACGGCAAAGCCGTAAAAGTAAACTGCCCACTAGACCTAAATATCGCAAGCTGCAATCGGCTTTTGCTTAACAACACGGATATTCAATTAACTCTACATCGTCAGAGCGATGAATTTTTGATTCGGGGATACGGGGCTGCAGGTAAAAATGTGGAAACTGGTGATTGATGATATCCGTCTCGTCTTGGCCGAATACCAGCTCTACCCCTCTGCAGCCGCTGCTATTGAGAAACAGCTCGCAAGCGGAAACAAAGCCAGTTACCCAATGAGAACTTATCAGACGCGCAGTTTCTTCCTACCGGAAGGCATAACAAAACTGCCAGAAACACAGCTGTTCAATTCGAACCAAATTCCTCGCCGAATTTTTATTGGGCTTGTTAAAAACGACGGATTTATTGGTTCCTTTGATACGGACCCTTGGAGGTTCAATAACTACAGCCTCAAAAATGTCAATGTACATTTTGCGGGGCAAACCGTTCCCCATAAATCCTGGAATCTAACTTGGGGACCAGCTACTATGGGGGCCACGGAAGCCTACACTCAGATGCAAGAAGGAACCGGTATGACCGGCAGCAATCTAACTAATGGCATAGGTCCGCAAATGTTTGGAGACTCAAGGTGTGTGCAAGTTTTTGAACTCTTACCTGATGCGGACGGTGGCGTGGAAAGTTTTGATATGGCAGTCTCCGGTCAGTGCACATTCGATATTGAATTGTCCGAAAAGGTTCCAGCCGGGGGTCTATACTGTATTGTACACGCTGAGTTTATGGACAAACTGACCTTGGATATAACCAGGCAGGCCCAAACTTTGGCCATTTAAAATGAACGGTTCAGAAATTGACCGACTTCTTTCCACCAATCATTTGACATATAGAAAGTATCGAGGCTGTTTCTCGAGTAATAGTTTGCCTGAACATTGTATTTACGGGGCTTTCGTGGTCAACCTCGACAAAGCTGGAAAACCAGGAAGTCACTGGGTTGCACTATACACCAGTGGAAGTATCGCATACTATTTTGATCCACTAGGCCAACCACCAAAAGGAGATATTCTAAAATGGATTTGCAAATATTTCAAAAAGCATTTTACGAATAATTTCCAACATCAAGAGTTTGGCACAAAAACATGCGGGCCTTTTTGCCTAGTATTCGTTCACCAAATGTGTCAAGGGATGCAGTTCTATGATTTTATTAAATTTTTCAAAAGTATTCAAAACGATGATTTCTTTGTAATCTCGTATGTCAAGCAGTATTTCAATTGCATACTGCCCGTCTCTTACGCGAAACAAGTATAAAAGGAATGAGGAGTCATGGAATTCATACATTCATTCATTTAACTCTTTTCTTTGCTTTGTTCTCATGGATGCTACAGTAACCAAGCGCCCAGTCTATGCGTGTCGGTTCTGCCAAAAGAGTTTTTCCACGGGCTCAAATTTAACGCGACATGTTCGCTCTAACTGCCCTAAAGCTATTGAAGTTTCTTCGGAAAAACCACTAAAGATCGCCAACGAGGATGTCCCTGCTGTGGAGACCGCTAGTCAGGGAGTTGAGAAGATGCAAGAAACAGGGAATAAGCACAAGGTTTTTGAAATTATGTTTTTTCATGACCTTCATACTAACGAGTTCACTTCTACTTTTCGGCCATGCTTCGCAACGACTACATCAAAAGGTTTCCGGAAATGATCAAAATTTTGTTTCGTAAAATTATTGTTAAATATCTCTATATTCATTAGTTTACTTTGTGATTTAAGAATTAAAATTGTTATTAATAGTATTGTAAATAAAGTTAAAATGAAAACTTTGTAAAACCAAAAAGCACATTTAAAATACAGAGAAAAATAAAATAAGAGGTGAGCACCGGCCGGTGCCTATATAGGACTAGCAGAGATTTTATCTGCTCCTCCGCGCGCTGGCTCAACTTTGCGAGAAACACGCTTTTCTGCCGTTTCAGGCGAAAATGGGGATTTTCGAGTGAACCCCGCCTGCCTCGAGATTTTACGATAAGCGCCCCAACGCGAAACTTGGGGGAATCGCCGTTTCTGGGGAAAATTGTCGTTTTGGGCAAAACGACCATTTCTAGCGAAAAACACCCCCTGCCTCGAGATTTTACGATAAGCGCCCTTTAGACGAAACTTGGGGGGATCGCCGTTTCTGGGGAAAACGGCCGATTTGGGCAAAATGGCCATTTTTAGTGAAAAACACCGCTACCTAGAGATTTGCGAGATAAGTTTTCGGCGGAATTTGAGAAAATCGCGAGATCTTCAAGATCTGGGCGTTTTCAGCGAAATTTTGTTTTGGTGAAAATCGCGTTTTCGGCCAAAATCTGCAAAATCGCCAATTTCTGCTAAAACTCGGGTTTTCCACGGAGATGGGCTAGATAACCGCTCTTTTAGCTCTTTAAAGTCCAAGAATATATAAAGGGGGTCTCGGATCGTACGGGTCATTCTTCCTATTCTGGCTATAGGTTTTTCGTTTACGTTATTTTGAATTTTATTTCCCATAGAGTTTCGTTTCCACTTTTAATAACATGGCTGAACTTGATTCCGAAACTGGTAGGTCATACTAGGTTTCATTAGCAAATTTTTCAAGATTTATCGATTGATACAGAAGTGCCTTCACAGGAACTTGGGGTTGGGCAAATGGATTCTGCCCTTCTAGAGGAACGTGAAAGTTCGCCCGAATCTGACGACGAACCTCCTTCTCGAAAACGTCCTTTTATAGACTTTTCGATAACTGAACCCCCGGATCGACCAGTGTTAAATCCGATTGATAATTTCACCAGTAGCTACAATCAGAAATTGGACTCTCATACCTTTCAAGGGGTTCTAAATTTTACAAATTTTGGAGAAAGCGTTGGTGCTGCCCCATTGGAAAAATACATTCAAGATGGAATCGATTTTTGTCTGGAAAAATATCATTTGGAAACCGGGAATGATCCGAATACCGTTACTTTTTCATTGATGCTTGACCACCCTGATCTAAAATATTTAAGTAAAGGTGCCATGTACCTCGGCAGACGCACTCGGATCCAAAATACCGGGAATGCTCTCTTGGCAGTTTTAGAAAAGCATATGCAAAGTAACGAATCCATTAAGCTCGACAATTCAATGCTTTTGAAAATTAATACTTACCCCGAAATTAAGGGTGGTTCTTTGAGTCTTTTGCCATCTCTCATTTATTCCAAAGATTCTGATGCTTTGTGTCTTTTGAGAGTAATTGCTTGTGGGCTTGCCTATTTAGTTTTTGAACGCAAAGCCGCTGCGTTAAAAAAGGGGGGATACCTATCGACATCGGTCCCGAAATCCTATCCTAAAACGCGCAAGGGCTGACTTTGAAAATTTATTCAAAAGTCGAGAACTTTCAAATGATGAAGGTATTAGACTTGCGAAAAATATACGTCCGTCTTTTGTGGTTAGTGTTGAGAAGATGACAATTAACGATGTCAATTGGCTTGATATAGGGCTGGGGCCTAAAGCGCGTCTTTTTGTTTACCGTCACGGGTTGTACGCTTTATGCTAGTAATAAAGATCCGACCATTCCTTCAATAAAAATTGCTTGGGTTCCTTCATCCGAGCATTTTGAGCTTATCACTACAGTTGGAAGCTATTTTACGGGTAAAGATAGACCTCAGCTATCATATGTTTGTGAATTTTGCGGCGAAATTACAAACCGTAAAGAAAAACATCTCTCTTGTAAATTTTCGTGTGTAAACTGTCGTAGCTTGGGTATTTGCTTACCGGATGACTCGTCGATGAGTTGTCTCAATTGCAAAATCACATTCCCAAACTCGAATTGCTTTGAAAGGCATTTGCAAAAACGCAAAGAATTGCTGCTTTGTATGGCGCATCGTTATAAATGTTTAGAGTGTAATGGAACTTTTTCAAAAAACCTTCGGCCAATGGAAAAACATGACTGCAATGAGGCCCTATTTTGTTTGAAATGTCAGGATTATCGTAGGCTTGATCATGCGTGCTCGTGGGGAAAGCTTTCCGTCAGACAAGCTGAACAAATTGAAACAGGCTCGTCTCTTTTCAAATATACCTTTGCTGATTTCGAGACACAGCTTAATGATATAGATGAGGACGGATCTGTAAAGATGTTGATGGATCAGCGCGTTACAACAGCTTGTGCCAAACAGATATGCAACTTTTGTTGTCCAGAAAACTATTCTCCAGCTAATATCCAAGCGCGAAAGGGTAAAAATTGCGGTTGCGTCAAGGAAATTAGTTTTTCAAACAATAGTTGGTTCGGGGGAGTCATCAGCTCTAGACGAATTCTGTAGATGGATTTTTACTGACCCGTGTAACAATAATTCTACGTTAATATTCCATAACGGCGGCAAGTTTGATGGCCATTTTATTTTTGATTGGCTTCTCAAACGGGGGATAGAACCTTCAGTTATTTCTAGTGGTCAGAAATTTTACTCGATAGGCACCCAAAAACCTCGGCGCACTACTTTAAAAAATAAGAATGTCTGCGCTGAGCATCCCATCGAAAATCTGAATAAGATTAAAATAATTGACAGCTTGAATTTTACCCTAGTGGCCCTCAAGAGCTTTGCAAAAACGTGGGGAATTCCCGCCACAAAAGATTATTTCCCCATTTATGCTAATTGTCCCCGTTTTGATTACGAACAGCCTTGGCCATCCATCAAATATTACAATACTGGGTCAAAAAGTTCCAAGGAGATTGCGGACATTGAGCAATTTTTATTAGAAAATCCTGGTAAGATTTTTAACTTGAGACACGAGTTGGTAAAGTATTGCATGCAGGATTGCGAAGTACTGCTTCAAGGGTGTATGCTGTTCAGGAAACTGTTTGTAGAACTTAATAACTTGGACCCTTTCAAGTATAGCTTAACCCTAGCAGGCGCTTGCCTAAATGCTTTTAGAATGAATTACATGCCAGAGGACCTAAAATTGGCTCATTTGCCAGAAAGGGGAGTTTTTGAAAATGGCTCAAACCAGAACCATAGCAAACTCTCACAAAAATACCTTAAATGGCTCGAAAAGGTGAAGGGACATGATATTCAGTACTGGGACAACGGTGGTGAAAAGAAACTAGTTTTGAAAAATGGACGCAAAATCTATGTGGATGGTTATTACGAACGAAATGGGCTTTATCATGTAGTAGAAGTGCACGGCTGTTATTTCCACGGGCATACTTGTCTTCCAAACCGTCACCAACTAGGACATCTAGGTAAAGAGGCTGCTGAACTGTATGCGGATACAATGGGCCGTTCTCAAGCAATTCGTGAAACGGGATATATTCTGGAGGAAATTTGGGAATGTCAAATTTATCAAATGTTGGATGTGGACCCTGAAATGGCTAAATATTTCGAAGAAGTGGAAGTTATTGGGTCTCTAGAACCTAGGGAGGCTTTCATGGGAGGTCGAACCCAAACCTTTCGAACGATTACAAAGGCAGCTGACGATGAAGAAATTTCCTATGATGATGTCAATTCGCTTTATCCATTTATTAATTGCAAAACAGAATATCCTGTAGGAAAGTATAGGCAAATTCTTAGGCCGCGACTTCCTGAAACGGCCATTTTAGAATGGAGGGATGCGACGCCCAATGGGCTTTATTACAAACTAAAGTACCGAGGGTTTTATTACTGCCAAGTTTTGCCACCAACAAACTGTAAAGTTGCAATCCTCCCGGTGAGGTACCAAGGGCAGTTGATCTATCCGCTATGTAATACTTGTATGAAAGAATGCATCAATTCTGGTGAGAACTTGGGTCACAAAGAATGCAAGCATTTGGTGGGAGAACGGTACATTCGGGGCACCTGGTTCAGTGACGAGCTTCAGTACGCA